TTATTTAATAATGTTTAGTATTTGACGGTAAATAAACAATCTAAAATATTTTAGATATTTGTGTTGAATCAAACAAAAGTAAATGAATTGCTGTAATAAGTATATCACAAGTAGATGTCACAAAACTTGAAACAATTATATTCATGGATTACATAAAAGTCGGAAGGGTCAAAATCTCTAAGATTCTCTTGACTCTATAATTACTCGCTATCAGGTATCCTCTAAGTGGCCCTATACATGACTCCACTTAGATTGGACAAATGATTGCTGTTGAAATATACATCTTTGCTACCCTCATGTATATTGATCGACTAAACTTGCGTTAATGAATAACGGAACTAAATAAGTCAAATATGAGAAGGAAGTTTGGATATGTGTATTTCACATACTACCGTTGATCAGAAAGTGAAGCAAAACAAAATGCCACACAATGGAGAACATGAATGAGCTGACCCGATGTAATCAGGTGGTAATCGATATTCATCTTCAGACATAAATAAATCACAGATATCTGATGCGTCAGTTAGGAAATGCACACACACGTCTACATAAAAACAATGAAGTTTAATAAGTCAGTAAGTGACAAGTTCAAAGTATGATTTAAGAAGAATAAATGAATGATCTGTCCAAAAACTAGATTAACCTCTCTGGGCTCAACATTAGGACTGGCCATTACAAAGACCCCCCACCCCAGTTTTCGAAAATGACACTGAAGAGATATATAGTTAGCATTAACAACAAGTAGTGGATAAAATTGTAATATATTTGATAGAGTACAGTGTCATGTGGGGAGTGAGTGAATGAGTGTATTATACAAAAAATACATCAATATCATAAAGGCACGGACAAAAATGACAAGAAAAGATATTAACATGCGACTATCGGAAGGTTAATAAGCGCATACGAAAAATTAATCTGAATTTATGTTTGTAGATTATCAATCAAATAAAGAAATGGATGAAGCTCGGTTTAGATCTCTTGGTGGAATGAATAGCATATGGACGAGAATGAACTACTTTTTAACTAACGAGTTCATACCATTTAGTCAGGAAATTATTTATGATAAAAAGATAATATACTTATAATTAATGATGAATACTTTTTAACATTAAAATTGGATATATGTTTAGGAATTGCTTAGATTTCGTTACGAACTAACATCAATGATATTAGTGTAGTAATTTAATGCAGAAGTTAGATTGGTTCATGCATATACGTTACTTCTATCAAATCTTCCTTTTTACAGTGTATTGCACCATTTTGATTTCAATAATCATGATGAAATATATTTTTTCGTCTAATTTTGTATATAATAATTCTACCAAGTCTATTGAGTGGCAATAATGAAGGACCATCAAAGTGTAGTCAAACTCTAGCCAAATCGTCAAACAGGAAGATCAACGAATGTCAAGTAGTTTACCGATTCTCTTCAAGGATATGGATGACCAACGTGTTTCATTCAATTGTATGCTATAGACGGGCTCTTATTTAGTGACCACATTCTGTTTTCCACATATTTCAACCAATAAATTTCCTCGGTAACGTCATGCATGTCCCACATGGTCATTAAAGTAGCTGCAGTACCTGAAAACCACGAGAGGGTTAACCCCGTTGAGTATTAACCGCGAGGTGTGGTTTCGACTTAAACTATGAGGTTATACAGTTCTCGTCCAATTAGAGTAAACCACGGGCATCAATATAGGTCACTCAAATTGGTGATCTATAGTGGTAATAAAATTCAAATACCGAAGAGTGGAGGATTTTATTTCAGAAATTCATTTAGGCCGACATTAAGCAAGCTCGGAATTGGGTATTATTACCAGCATGAAATAATTGGACATGATTTAACATTTAAAATCACATATAAAAATAGGCCGACAGATAGACTGAATAAGCAATGGTATGATATTTGTAATTACTGATAATTCCACTGTACTTGATAGTGTGCTGATGACGAATTCCAAATATAAAACGTTCATTTCTGCCCATCTAGTTCTAACTGCATTAAGCAGCACTATTTTGGTAATTATTAGCAAATCAATTCGAATAATTCTAATTATTATAAAAAAGTGAATACACGTGTACATCTCAAACGTTCAACTTTCTAAGCGGATAACTAACATGACTTCATCAAATTAGAATGCTGTATCTTGCGAACTGAGTTTCTAAGACAAAAATAAATGAAATAAAAGTATGACAAGAAATGACAAAATCGTGTCGTACGTATTTGCAACAAATAAATTAAAATATTACACTTGTGATACTGTTCTGGATAACAAAACTTAGTCACGATAAAGGTTGCGAACCATAATATTTCGTATTTAAAACTCGAAATCAGCTCATCCGATCACTGTTTTGAGCATGCTTTTGACTTGACGGCTAACAGCCTGCACGATGCTTTGTCGAACGGATATATAAAAGGCAAAAAAGTGGAACTTATCAAACCTCAGTTTAAATTATTTGATTTCTAGGCTCGAGATCATATTTAATTAGCAGAAACGGTATCCCAAGTTTCTATTGGCATTTACACAAGGAGGTGGATCAGATCTGTAGTACTCTAATTGAGGTTCCCAAGACAAAAGATAAGTAATTCAAAAGAATTCCATATCGTGCTTAGCGTATAATATATAATGAAGTGTTTATTATTACTGTTAATTACTGTTACCCATCAATGTTTGGAAAGCGGATTAAGAACTGGAGGCATACCAATAAAAAGTGATGTATTGTTCCGTGTATTCCAGTATGATCCAGCGCAGTCCAACAGTGAAATATTTTTGAAACTTTTTACCTAATACTGTTAGTCAATTTTTAAAAGTACTTTGGTCTGGTGCAATAGTTAAGTCAACTGGTTTGGGCTTTTTCTACCATAAATTACGGACGCAGCTCGCACTTCTTCATGGCTAAACGATGAGATGCGGCAATTAATATATTTTAGAATTATTTTAAACAACTGAACACTTGTGAAGGTTTGGGATTCTGTAAGTCTTTGTAATTTAAAAGGGTATGAAGTGATTGAAAAATTTCTACTAGAGGGAACAACACGATATATTTCAACATGATTTACGTTGGTTCAATACGACCTACATCATTAACTGAAAGTCAATAAAGTGAGGGTTATTTGAAGGGGTTCGTTGATCGCCTCATGTTAGTTATGGTTGAGCACCCTTCACTAATCGATTTTGCACACAACATAATCTGATAGAGCTAGCATACAAGTTTTCATCCGTTCTGATGCATAGAAATGTATGGATCGATAAAATTTGAGTTGAAGTTTCACGATTTCGACTTACTCCGATCTCACCCCAAATTCTTCCTTATATAACTATCAACCACGATGTTGTAATTTTCCAAAAGCATCGCAGCATTAGCGACTCCGCAAGACAGAAACAACCTTTCATTTATAATTTCTGATTGGTTTATTGGTTGAGCAGTTTTAGTCAGTCAGAAGCTAACCGAGTTGAGAATTTATATATATCCATCGGGGGGTTTTCTGACATTATTTCCAACCAACTGATCGAGTTGATCATTCAAGCAATCAATATCAGTCTTTATTTTCTATTATGCTTTTCATTAGAAAATAAATTATTATTCTCTGAAGTTTTAGCAAAACAAAACGAGTTTTGTGTTCCCATAACAAATAACAATCTACGACGACCCAAAAATAACATCCTTGGTAAATGATACTGATAGGTTATTCTGTTCAACGGATTTTGAAATGTTGATTAAGGATTTAATTCAGTTAACTATTACAGTAAATTCTGCGGAGTAAAAAGTGGAATACTAAACAAGAATTTGATGTGCTGCCGTTAGAACTTGATTTAGATGACATTTTGAACCGGACGAATGTAGAGCGTTAATCCAACTCAAAACAATATATTGAACTAATATCTAGTGACACGATATTCATTGGTCCCTGTGACTTTACTATTTACTAAGAATACAAAAGCAGGTAATCAAGGAAAAGAACGATGGTGTGGCAATTTGTGGCTGTAAATAAGTCCCAAAAAATGAATAGTTTTGAAGGTCCTTAACATTGAATAAGACCTCAGCCTTACTGGACACATCTGTGGCTCAAAGAGGTGTCTGTGAGCTCGATCTATATCACCCAACATGTCGCAAACTACAGTTACAACTTAGGAAACTCCTCTCTAGTAGTATCCCAAGTCGAAAAAGATTTAGGAGTCCTGGTGCCTCATGATTTGAAGTCTTACGCTAACTGTGACAAAAATGCCTTCCGAGCAAACCTTGCACTGGTAACGTTGAGGCGCATTTTTGGACAGTTTGACGGAAGAACTTTCCATACAATCCTCAATAGTTTCATCCGTCCCCATTTAGAGTACGGAAACATAGTACTCCCCCTCACTCCAAAAGGACAAGGTCACTTCGGAGCGTATCCAACGGCGAGCCACGAAATCAGTTCGAGGACTCAAATCTAAACCTTACGAAGAACGCCTCCATTCACTAAACCTTTACCCATTAGAGTATAGGCGTCTTAGAGGTGATTTATTAATGGCTTATAGTATTCTTAACACTTCTGGACATCCTCTTAAACACCTACTTAAGCTTAGTTCGAATAATAACCTAAGGGGTAACACCCAGAAACTGGAAACACAACATAGCAAGACGGAATGTAGACACAACTTCTACTCCTTAAGAGTTGTCAAAAGCTGGAATTCGCTGCCGGCCGAGCTAGTCCAAGCGACTTCTCAGGAGTCCTTCAAGAGGCAACTTGACCTATTCTTAAGGACCAAGGACAGCATCACACTATGATTTACCAATTTCTTTTCCTCTTTTATTGTTAACATACCTAGGTTCCTGCCTGGAGGATTTGGTGATCCCCTGCTACTAGACACGGAAGCCTGTTAAGCGAAAGCTTCTTCTATTCTGTCCACAACCATTTGAACCATTTAAACCATTTGGATATTGGATTTAACACTTGTGGTTGTAACCTTGCCGCTATTTTAGAGAAATTTTGAAGGTCATGTCTGTCCGAAAACAGGATGGAGTCAGATGATATAAGCGTTCTGAGATTCCGTTCTGTTCGTAAATATGATGTAATGAAGTTGCAGTCACTTTATGAGGAATGCTTTCCAGTCAGGTATACTTTCTGTAAATAACATTTGTTAAGCTATCCATCCTCTTGGTTTCAGGATCTCCTTGATAATTCATCTCTTATATCTATTGCAGCAGTTTCAGGCGATGACTTAGTTGGTATCTTGGTAGGGACAGTAACGACCCTGGGAAACTGTAGTGCTGATGTTGGTTTTTGATTTTCATTTCTGTTATGTGCTTCAGGATAATAAATTACTTGCATCGAGTTTTCCACTTTCGACCGGAGTTGCATACATACTTAGTTTGGGTGTTACGTCGTCATTCAGGTCCAGAGGTGTTGGTGAGCTTCATTTTCTCAATTTTTTGCTTATTAAGCTTGGTAAATATGCTCCAGCTAGCTTTTTGTCTGGTCATCAAATCAATTCTGTTTTCCATGCACAAGTTATAAAAAAATTATGGTTCATCGTAACATGGTTTAGCTAGTAGAAATCAGTCTTCGCAAATACTTTCTGCTAAATCCCTTGCTTAGGGTGTAACTTATTAGATACACCTATGTATAGGAGCGCGAAATTCGTTAGTTCTATCACTACTCGTGTTTATGATTGTTGAAAATCCATAGTACTTAGTTGGAGTCTGTACGTTAATTGCCACCAATGTTTGAAGATGTTGGAAGATGATATTTGGAATCGGTCTCAATAGCTCAGTTACATTGTCTAAGTCTACCCTTAAATCTTGAGTCTGAAATATATTTCACACTTTTTGTCCCTATATTATGCTCCCTCTTCTCAAACTATTGTTTCTATTTCTATTTCTTTCTTTTTGTTGTCACTGAAACTATTTCTACTTCTTTTTGGCATTCGTCTCTTCGCTTTATTATGAGATGTATTCGAAATTATACACGTTTGTTGGGTCCTACGTTGCTGCATAGTCATAATTCACCTTGAAGCTCTTAATCAATGAAATTCCATTAGTTTTGTCGGTCAAGCTACCACTGTACTCACTACGTAGTCATTATCAGATACAAGAAAATCCCTACGTGTAGTTTAGAGCGTAGTTTCAGGAGACCAGGAATAACGTTCCGCATACACGAATCGTTTGCCCTAGCGGTGCGAGGTGATAAAGGGACGTGAGAAAGCTTGGTCGTGGAGCTAACAGAGTTATTAGTTGGTGTGGGAAGGATTTGAACGTGACCAACTTGGTCTCATGTGCTGTTACGGGTATGAGGGCTGATATCACTTCCCGGCTGCCCACACTGTGGAAGGGTGTTTCTTCAGGAACCTGTAAAGGAAATCGGATTAGTGTTGGTCTTAGCAACCTGGGAGCGTGACCTAGAGGAACATGTGTTCCAACCAATATAGCTCGGCTGGATCATCACGCTAGGCAAGCCCGACCACCGCGTCAAGGTAGCAGCTACGGTCGGGAATCTATCGAAATGCAAAATGTTTCAGGATTGGGTTGCATTGACACCCGAACTAATGATAGGGAGTGGAGTAGTTGAGTGTGTCGACCGCTTCACTTATCTTGGAAGTCTCATCAGCCCTTGTGGTTTAGTGTGTGACGAAATCTCAGCACGGATACAGAAGGCTCGACTAGCTTTTGCCAACTCGCGTCATTTATGGCGTAGGCGAGATATCCGTCTATCAACCAAAAGACGTGTTTACTGCGCAGTAGTTCGTTCTGTGCTACTTTGTGGCAGTGAAACATGGCCGGTAAAAGTAAAGGTTATTCGTAGGTTACTAGTATTTGATCATAGGTGTCTTCGAAACATTGCTCATATATCATGGGACCATGGAGTAAGTAATGCAGTTGTTAGAAAACGGGTACTAGGTAAGGATGGCAAATCAGTTGATGAAGTAGTGAAACTTCATCAGTTGAGATGGCTGGGACACGTGTTACGTATGCCCAACGACCGACTGCCTCGATGTGCTATGTTCAGTGGTATAGGAGTAGGTTGGAAGAAAGCTAGGGGCGGCCAGACCAAAACATGGAACAAGTCCATGAATTCACTGACAAGTGGACTGAGTCATATTGGTAGGTGTAGACTATCTGGTTGGGGACCGCGAGATGACAGCAACCGATGGTTAGAGACCCTGAATGACATGGCTGAAAGTCGATCGCAATGGCGCAGGTGCATCCACTCTTTGTGTTTTCCCAAATCCTAATGCCCTGAATCCTCCTTGTCTCTTTTTTTCCATTTCCAAATTTATTTCACTGGATTATTCTTTTTAAATAACATCTTCAAACCATAATCTTTCCGACTTCTGCTTATACTCTTACCGCCTCTACCACTACGGGATTTAAATGGGCAACTGCATCTCTGTGCCAATGTGGTGTGGAAACTCGGACTGATGTACGTACGTACGAAGTTCTACGTTGTTACTGACTGATTCGATCGATCCCTACTTGGTCGAACTTGAAAACGTCCTGGTATTCTCAAAACTACTGTACCCAGAGGGAGGTTAGTGGTTAAAACACTCGACCGAAAACCGTTAGTTCGCAGGTTTAAACCTCGCTTCATGTATTTTAGTTTGGACAATCGGGTAATATCAATAATTCGTGCAGTGTGGTTAAAAACTGAGTATATAACTATGCACTTTATAAACGAGTTACGTAGTTCCTCTGGCTATAATTAATTATCGTATAATTTTGAAATATGAAAATCATAGAGATTGTATTAGTCAAACTAATTGTTATTTATTTATTGTAAGAAGAATTTTGATCTTTAAACTATGATGATTGGCAACCGACTCATTTTAGACAGAATTGCGTTGAGCCGCGAAAGTAATTGTTTCAGCCAATTTCGATAGCAACATCCAACCTCTATCGTTGAAGACCCAAACAAGCCAGTTGAATTGTTTTTGTAAACATTTCACCCCCATTTGAAACTGGATTATTAATACCTTTTCTACTGTTATAGTTTCACTAATTTCTGACTGTATTTCCAATGTCAAATCGTTTTTTCAATCTCCTTTGCCTTTCGTACTCACCATTATCATTGCACAAACTCATTATCAGGATACATTTAAATTACTTCAGCTCAAAACATATTAGGATAACTTCTTGGTGATCTGATTGTTCGACAAAAGCTGTGAATTTTAAGTCTCTTTAATTTATATTCTAAATATCTTAGTTGTTCGTTTTACAATGAACATTTTACCGCTCTAGGCTACATTGGTATAAACATCTCAATAACACTCCATGATATCCTTAAACTAACACATTTTGAGTACTCTTCTAACAACTAAATCATAAATTATAATTAATTCAGGTGCTTTATTATGTAGTATTCTCAGGATTCATATAATAGATGTAGATATCAAATATAATTGAATATATACTCAATTATCGGAGTATTTTTATTGCTAACTAGTTATATTCACTATGAATGTTATAAACTTTATAACTTAAGATCTACGTTATCCGTAGTTTTATATTGTTTTCTGTCTAAGTAATAGTAACAAATAGCATTTTTCATTTTTGTTATTGTTTCTTTGTGTTTAACCTGAACTAACTCAAGGTTGTAATACATATTCTAGTCATTTTTCATTATCAGGTTAACAAAATAGATTATTTTAGATTCTGCTTACACCATCGTATTATAAAGCCTTTCTTCTCTAATAAAAAAAATATATTTTATAATAAATGTATATCTAACACCTAATTAAAGACTAGAACCTACACAAGTCGGAATTTATAAATGCACTAGTCTTATTAAAAGTATATGAAGATTTGACATTATAAAGCCACGTCGTTTTTCTGTAAAACAAATGGAAGTGATATGTGTTAAGAAGAAGAGTATATGCAGTGAAGCGAATATATATATATATATATATATATATATATATATATATATATATAAACCGAAGGTAGAGATCAGTCACGCGGTCGCAGGTGTATCCTAACACGAGATCCTACGAATTTGCTCAAAAGGGAGGTGTTAACGGGATATAGATTGAATTAAAGCACGTTTTGTATAGGATTAGGTTGGTTATTTCTTATCCAGTATTAGCAATGAGATTAACCGAGGTCTTAGGTAGAATTTGGGAACTGGACGTAATCCCATCTGACTGGTCTCAATCACTGATTGTGCCAGTTTTTAAGAAAGGACAAAAGTCCTCTTGTGACAATCACAGAGGAGTCAGTTTGACTAATAGTGTCTAAAATATTAGCCTCAATAATACTTCGACGCCTAACTAAAGCTCATGAAGAGCAGACTAGAGAAAATCAGGCTGGTTTTCGACCTGGACGTGGTTGTATAGATCAGATATTCACACTACGTCAGGTTCTAGAACACAGACACACATTCAGACGCCCCACAATGGTAGTATTTCTCGACCTTAAGGCGGCATTCGACTCTATTGATCGTGAGGTTCTATGGCAGTGTTTGTCACTGAAAGGAGTACCAAAGAAGTACATTAACCTTATAAAGGCTCTCTACTCGAACACAACTGGTAGAGTGAGAGCTTATGGCGAACTGTCATCAGAATTGATCACCTCAAGTGGTGTTCGTCAGGGCTGTCCACTCTCCCCATTCTTGTTCAACTTTGTCATTGACGTACTTTTAGAGATAACACTCTCCTCATCTCAATATACAGGGGTTGAACTTCTACCAGGAGGTTCACTTGTTGACTTAGAATATGCTGATGACATAGTTTTATTTGGTGAAGACGCTGACAAGATGCAGAGTCTTCTGGCCACTCTAAGCAACAATGCAAGCATGTTCGGGATGCGATTCTCTCCCTCGAAAAGCAAAATGTTGCTTCACGATTGGGTTACATCGACACCCGAACTAGTGATAGGGAGTGAAGTAGTTGAGTGTGTCGACCGCTTCACTTATCTTGGAAGTCTCATCAGCCCTTGTGGTTTAGTGTGTGACGAAATCTCAGCACGGATACAGAAGGCTCGACTAGCTTTTGCCAACTCGCGTCATTTATGGCGTAGGCGAGATATCCGTCTATCAACCAAAAGACGTGTTTACTGCGCAGTAGTTCGTTCTGTGCTACTTTGTGGCAGTGAAACATGGCCGGTAAAAGTAAAGGTTATTCGTAGGTTACTAGTATTTGATCATAGGTGTCTTCGAAACATTGCTCATATATCATGGGACCATGGAGTAAGTAATGCAGTTGTTAGAAAACGGGTACTAGGTAAGGATGGCAAATCAGTTGATGAAGTAGTGAAACTTCATCAGTTGAGATGGCTGGGACACGTGTTACGTATGCCCAACGACCGACTGCCTCGATGTGCTATGTTCAGTGGTATAGGAGTAGGTTGGAAGAAAGCTAGGGGCGGCCAGACCAAAACATGGAACAAGTCCATGAATTCACTGACAAGTGAACTGAGTCATATTGGTAGGTGTAAACTACCTGGTTGGGGACCGCGAGATGACAGCAACCGATGGTTAGAGACCCTGAATGACATGGCTGAAAGTCGATCGCAATGGCGCAGGTGCATCCACTCTCTGTGTTCTCCCAAATTCTAATCTTCTGAATCCTTCAAGTCCCTTTTTTCCTCTTTCGAAATTTATTTCACTGTATTATACTCTTTAAATAACATCTCCAAACCCTAATCTTCCCGATTACTGCTTATACTCTTATTACCTCTACCACTACGGGATTTGAATCGACAAGTGCATCTCTGTGCCAATGTGGTGTGGAAACTCGGACTGATGTACGTACGTACGAAGTTCTACGTTGTTACTGACTGACTGACTATTTCTTATCCAATCAGCGCTAGTGGATATTTGAGGAAGACTCTACGATCTTGCCCCCAAATCCCATTATACGGCCAAGAGAGGGGAGAATCCGCTATCTTTCTCAAAATGCTATCACATGTTCATGTGCATACAACCACTACCAGGGAAGTCTTACTCACCGCCTCGCGGCGTGGGTGTTGGTTACGGAATTGAGCGATTGAAAAGAATGTCTGGTGCTTTAACAGGGTTGGTTGATACAGAGAGTTCACATAGATTAGTTGGCAAACCTGATTCCAAACCAATGGTGCACATGGGCTCCAGTATCGTGATGGAACAAATGGCATATGAAGCAATTGTTGGTCACCGGCTACCATGAGACTGCATCTTTTTACTCTGCTCCACTACCATGTGGATCAGACCTGTGGGTGGAAGGCTCGGGGTGTGATCCCTTAAGGAAGCCACCTGCTTCAGTTTGGGCACGTGGGGAGTATCCCAGTCCTCATACAAATCGAATGATTTTGTGATGCATATCTGTTTGGTGCCTCTTTGTACCAATGTTTATGTGTTAAAATAATAACAATTAATAACTCTAGAATCTTATTTAAAAATTATAGGTATACTAACGTCTTTTGTTGTGGTTCGTACTTTCATCCACCCTTGTTATTTGAAATATAGTTCTTGTAGAACTGTGTTCTAATTTGGGACTTGTTTAATTAACATTACATGGTGTAATTTACATAATAAACTGATTCTGTTCTCATTTAGTTAACGTTGTTCTACCCACTTTTATTTTCCAGCATCTATTTTATTGAGATCATTTATTGGTTATGTATCTGGTGAAAATATGGATTGGTTGAATGATTCTAATTATCAAGGTGATTTGCCTTGTTCAGATCTATTCAATCAAACTGTAAATGTGAATCCAGCTCACCATAGAAATGGAGAGGATTGTTATTCTGACAGCAATGTAAGCTAAATACTTAGTTTCAATTTATCTTAGTATTATTTCTATTTATAATTATTTACTTTTTCTTCCAGTATCTTGATGTAAACTACTGATTTCTGGTATTTCATATGTTTTTAGGTAATAAGTCTATATATTTTTACGTAACTTATTCTAATCGCCAATAAATTTATGATCTAGTCTCATGGTGAATACTACTCACCAGTAGTACGTAGCGGAAACGAGTGTGGAAGTTTCTACAGTCGATAACTGAAGAGAAGAGTCTCAGGAGGTCGAAAAGTATGGGTATGCAAAGTACTTTGAAGACCAGAAGAACGGTAAGAGAAGACAGTTTGTAATCAACTTGGATTACAGAGCACAAATCAGTCAGTCAGTCAGTCAGCTACAACGTAGGACCAGGCACATTTATGCATCGGTCCAAGTTGCCATACCTCATTAACACAACAAGATGGACACCGGATTCATAAAAGTAGTTAATTCGGAGGTGGTAATATATAAAAGAAAGATTGCAATAAGGATATAGTACAGGAAGAAAGAATTAGTTCGTAGAAAGAAAGATATGAAGCGATTTTAATCTCATAGTTTAAGGGAAGACAGAGAGTGTATACACAGACGCCATTGTGATCGATTGTGAGCCATGTCACTCAGAGTCTCCAACCATTAGTTACGATATTCACGCGGACCCCAACCAAGTAGTCTGCATCTACCAACATGGCTCAGACTAGAAGTTAGTGACTTTGTGGACTGATGCCACGTTTTGGTTTGGCCGCCCCTAACTTTCTTCCAACCATCTCGAACACCGTTTAGCATTGCACGTCGTGGTAATCGGTGTTCAGGCATACGGAACACGGCCCAACCATCTCAGCCGATAAAGATTCACAACCCCATCAACTGATTTACTATCATTCCCTAATACTCTGCGTCTAACCTCACTATTACTTACCCGGTGATCCCAGCAGACGCCAGCCAAATACTAGTAGCTTACGAGTGTCTTCTACTCTTAATGGCCATGTTTCGCTGCCGTAAATTAAAACAGAACGGACTACAGCACAGTATACTCGTCCTTTTGTTGATAGACGGATATCTCGCCTTCGCCATAGGTGACGTGAGTTGGCAAAAGCTAAGCGAGCTTTTCGAATCCGTGCTGAGATTTCGTTAGAAACCAACCCATTAGAGCTGATCAGACTTCCAGGATAGGTGAAGTTGTTAACGCGTTCGACTACTTCACTCCCTATCCTTAGTTCAGGTGTTGACGCAGACCAGTCCTGAAGCAACAACTTGCATTTAGTGGGAGAGTAGCGCATTCCAAACATTCTGGCATTGTTGCTTAGTGCTACCAAAAGACTCTTCATTTTATCAGCGTCTTCACCAAACAGGACTATATCATCTGCGTCTTCTAAGTCGATAAGTGGACCTCCTGGAAGAAGATCAATACCCGAGAATTCAGTAGACGAGAATGTCTGGGAATGGAGGGTAGTTGTAGAGTAGCTAAAGGCCAGTTGAACTGTTCTCTAAAATGTTCCGCCCATCGTTCTAAACGTCTGGACTGGGAGCAGATGAGTGTCGTCTTTTTCCGAAATAGTCTCACTTACACTTAACTTATTAATTCCAGTTTCTTTTATTAGTCTGTAGAGCTGTCTTGTGTTCCCTATAGCCGCCGCCTTTTCCATCTCTTTTGCTTTCATTGCCCACCACTGCTCACGGTCGTTCCTTAGACTTTTTCTTAACCTAGATCTGATTTGTTGTCGCTCGTCATCGCGTTCAGAGCCTGATGGGATGAGTTTACGAGAATCCATCAGTGTGATAGACTTTGAAGAAATCCACTGGCTCTTTGTAACTCTGTGGTTTAAGTCACTAATAGATTTCATTGCTGTTTCCACAGCTGTTTGTATATTTTTCCAAGCAACATCTGGGTCAGCCTCATTTTCAGAACTACCTAAGTGTGACCTCAGTTGTTCCTGGAACCTACTTTTGATTTTCTCGCTACTCAATTCAGTTCTAATGGGTCTTTTTAATGTGGCTCTTTTGCGTCCAGTGCGTGCCCGTATTAGGGCGTGGTCGGAGTTCAAGCAGGTACTCCAGAATGAGTGACAATCTTCTACCGACCCTCTCCAACGATGACTGATGGCAATATGGTCTATTTGAGTCCATCGTTGGTTTGGTGTAGGGGGTCGCCATGTTAGACGATGTCTCTCCTTATGCTTAACATTTGTGTTTGCTAAAAATAAGCGATTGTCTGAGCATAGTTGCAGCAGACGATCACCATTATCTGTTCGTTGTGCCGGTATACTAAAATACCCACCTAAATGCCTTTCTGTTTGGTTTAAACTACCTATCTGGGCATTAAAGTCACTTGCTACGAGTACTATGTCTGAACGTTTAGCTTTCTGAAGAAGTTCAGATAGCTTTCTGTAAAATTCATTTTTCACTTCATCTGAGCTGCAGTCGATGGGAGCGTAGGCAGGAACGACAAAAAGGCAACGACGTGTGTCCCTATCCTTTCGACTTCTTACGGAGCCGTTTAGCTGAACAGCACATAAACGACTGTTGACGGGAATCCACTCTAACAGTGCTTGTTCCGCCCTCATGCTTAGTGCTACCCCTACTCCTGCCAGTCCACGAGAACTGGCCGTCGGGTCACCAGATACACGGAGGGTGTATCTCGTTGGCTTTCCGTTTTGCCAAGGTAAGGTCAAGTGAATGACCACACTGGAATCCTTTATGGGTGTTTCAGAGACACAGCATTCATCAATGGTATGAGATTCTAGGATTCTAGCCAGGGAAGCCTGCTGACCGATTTGACATAGAGTGCGTACGTTGAGAGCTCCAATGTGTAGTTTGGAGCGAGGTTTCAGTAGACTGGGGACAGTGTTTTGAGCACTAGAATCGTTGGCTATGGTGACACTTGAGGAGGAAGCCGAAGGAGGAAGTTTAGGGTTGAAAGTCGATGTAGGAGGAATAATAGGAATTGAAGAGGAAGGTTGATTATGAATACAGTGGTCTTGGGTGCTGTTAGAGGTATGAGGGCGGTTATCACTTCCCGGTTGCCCACACCCGGGAGCGTGACCGCAGTGCCCAAGGGACAACTGCTTGAGATCGGTCACACATGACCTTTTTATGGGTAATTTTTGTGTTAGCTCCGTACTTGTTGAGACCTTACCGCCGGAGACGGATATCCGTGGGATAAGGCGAGGTGTGCATTTTTAGGGTCGACCTTTTCTAACCCCACCCCTCCTTGTGGGAAGGCAGCATCGCTGTCATGCTGGTTGTCTGGAGGAAACACCTTACTGCTGTCACATCTCTGTACAGTCGGCAGTACGACTTCGGACCTTGGGTTTGTTGCTTTTAGTCTTACCGTTCTTCAACCGACCTTTCTGACATGGTAGGACCTTGAGGAACGGTTGTTCCAGCCAGTATAGCTCGGTTGCTTCATCACGATAGGCAAGCCCGACCACCACGTCAAGGTAGCAACAACGGTCAGGAAAGTATTAGCCCAGCCGGGATGTGTGGCTCAATTTCGTAGATTGGTCGAAATTAGACATTAACACCACTGGATGCTGGCTCAGTGGTCTAGAGGTTAGGCGTTCGCGTAAGAGACCGGTAGGTGATAGAGAAGATTTGTAGCTCAGGTGGATGATTTTGATGGAGTTTTGTTCTCTGAGCTGGATGGTTTGGTCGTTGAGCTCTCATCGTTCTTCTGAACGACATCATCAGCACAAACGTCTATCTGAAGACCAGTAGATCCTGAGTTCGAATCCGGGGGCTTGGTCGTGGGTACGCACTGCTGAGGAGTTTCACAATAAAACGAAACGACCATCCAGTGCTTTCAGGTTTTCCATGGTGGTTTAGCTTCAATTGACTCATGATCTCAATTATTGAAATTGACCAATATATGTTAATTTTCCGTATGCTAATGCGATTTTGATCATGTTATCCTTGCTATAGGCTGTAGCATATTGGCTAATTTCACCTATTAACATATGAGAACATTTTATAAATTCAGTTAAATTAACTTATAATATTCAAATCATAGGTGTTACTGAATAAACTCATATTTATTGATTTTTTTTTCTGGTTAGTTGTTGAAATCCTTAATCCGAATCATCAATAGACATTCCATTTCATATATTTATCTAATAATATAGGTCAGGTTCGATGTAAAAATCACACTATGACAATTTGTTTCCATCTGACTATCCAATTTATGAAGAATAATAATAATTGATATTAGTTTCAATTCAATGGATCTAATATTTTCATTAAGTTTTTGCCATAGATTTAAGTAAGTAGAGTTCAACCACATTGTGAGTCGACTAAATTTGGAATTGTAAACCACTGGATGCTCATTCATTGAACTAAATAGTATCAGACTCTCCTCAAAGTTGAAACTTTCGATACCTGACGAGTTCTTTTTTTTGCACTCATGATAAGGAATCTTATGTTAAGATAAAGTAGACGTCCGATAATCCCTGGTTTATGACGATTGTCCAGCTAAATTCTTGTTGAAGGAAAAACACTAATTTATTATTTTTCACAAACCTCTTCCTTATCGATTTTGTTTACTATTATGTTTTCTTTCGTTTTTGATTTCATTCCACCTAGGTATCAACTAAGTATAACGATACATCTTCATCTATAATTTGGCGTGTCAAAGATTATAAATCTCTATACAATCTAATCACACAATTACCACGTGTCTCTCCTGTACAAGCTGTTTATCTTCATGTGTTACATAGTAATCTACATGCAAGACGTTTCTATGAAAATCGTGGTTTTATTTTTCTTCATACACGTCCCGGTTGTTATACAATTGATGGTAGATCTGCTGATGGTTGTACATATGTTCTTCATACAAATGGTGGATATTTAGATTGTAAACCAATGTATCCTTGTTTAAGTTTATTAGTACTATTAGTAGTATTATTATTGATAGTTTGGTTACCAGTTAGTCAAATTCAAGGTGTTAGTTCAAAAGTGATGCACTCAGTAAGCTGAAATTTTTCAGTTACTTCTCTAGTGATTTGACCCATCTCTCCCATTGGAACAAGATAAACTTCTATCATTCTTATTTAATCTTGTTAGGGTTTATCATTAAATATGATTACCCAGTAATCCGTCCATTTTGTCGATCTTTTTTTCATTACTCTTATCTTGGTACACAACCGTTTTCTAATTTTCAGTCTAGGATTTCCTATTATATTTAGATACTACCTTCTTCATTATACTTAGAATTATTACTGATGTTAGCTGTATAAATTGTTTCTACTTGTGGGATACTACTGTCTATTAGTGAGTAGTCTATTTTCTGCTTTGTAATTATTTTACACCAATTTGTCATTTCAGTAGTTTATTCATAAAATCTGTTTTATTCTGGTGTACAGGTTATTAATAATTTTGGAATTAAAGCAACAGTGCATCTGAAATTATAATTTACAGGAAAAGTAATACCTTTCAGTAAATAATTAGACATGATTACTTCCCGAATTTTGAGGGATACTGATAATGTATAAGTTAGAAATGCGACTCGACTTACTCAACGGAAGCAGAAAAAAACTGTATTCAAGTATGTGATCCATTTGTTAAGTATCGACTCTTTAGAACTCTCGCTTATGTTTCGTTTCTATAAATGATCGTAGATAAGTATATCAGTATACCCAATTCAACATGTTTAAAACTATTTCAATGTTATATCACCTGAACTGGGTGATCCAAAGATAAGACTGTTTTTATTTTACTAAACAATACCACCAGTATAGGCTTTGAAAGGAGTTATTGAAATATCTCTAACATTTTGTTCTGTCAATGTAAGATTTAAGTGATTGCTGTCCATAATTGTGTTGTCTTTGTCTAAATATTTATACTTTTCGGTGACCTGATATCTGACCTCATAGTTATTGATCACTTTCCTTATTGGTTGATGAATTAAGGTTATCTCAGTATGTCTACTTATTCAATAAATACAAAGCCTTTCAAGATTCTCTTTTTCGTTCGCGTCTATTGAGTGTTTTAGCATTTTCTCACTTGAACTCGTTTCAATAGTTACCCACATGCGTTTATATAAGTGTGACTCGGATACACCAAGTTTAAAAAAACCAAAGGAGATATTCATTCCGCCCCCGTGTAATATGTTTCCTAGTTGTTTCAGCTTATCTTGTAGATGGTATTGGGTTTCTTATCACTTGCTATTACGTCCTTTGCGTTTGTTAATGTAGATTGTAGAAAGTTTATCAGTTCATGGAAAGGTTCCGCTTATTTCTAGCAATGTGCTTATGATCTTCGAGATATTCTTCATGAAGTGTAAAGAATTATGAAATATAATTGTTATGTTCTTATGGCCTGTTAGTAATCACGTGGGACGATTGCCAATTAGAACACCGAATTACTGACCAGACCAATGACGAGCAGTCTAGAGTCAACTCTGAGTTCTTATTGGTCCACCGAGATGGTAACTTCTCGCGTAACCCAACCGGTTTAGTCCAGAACACCAATACTGGCCTCCTTTATATGAACCATGTGTTTCAGATATACTTGGTTTATATACAAGCAAATCAGACCTCATCATACCATAAAATAGAAAATAACAATTATACATAATCAAGCCCAAAAGTGGCTGTGATTGTGAAAGACTGTTACTAATAAATTGGGAATAGCTTAAGAGTAGCATATCGTATAATAGTAGCCAATAGATCAAATGGAAACTTATAATAAAACGAATATGAATATACATATAATATAGTTACTTAATAGTTATGTAATAAGAATATATGTGATATTATTCCGTAAATAGATCCTAGCAGTTACCATTCACTTATCCTTCATCCGGATATTGATATTGTATGCTATAAATAACATCTCCAAACCCTAATCTTCCCGATTACTGCTTATACTCTTACTACCTCTACCACTACGGGATTTGAATGGACAACTGCATCTCTGTGCTAACGTGGTATGGCAACTCGAACTGATGTACGTACGTACGAAGTTCTACGTTGTTACTGACTGACTGAAACATATTCTCAACATATTTGGTTGTGTAGAATAACATGTTTATGTAAGTAAATACATTCATTACACTGAAGAAAATAGAGCGTTTACAAATTGTCTATTATTTTTTCTTTAGATTTTTTGAACATTAACAAATCGTTATTTTGATGATGATCAATTCTGATATTTAAATTGCTAATACTGGTCAGAGTCCATTTAATAATGACATAAAAGTACTTTATTTAAATCTAGGAAGGTCAATTATAATCGTTTTAATTTTAGGACTAAATAATCAACTACCTTAGAAACAATATATAATGATTGTCCGGTAATTAAAGAACTTAATGTACAGATCAATGACAGGTTCTAACTATCTTTTACATATTTTGATTTGAATAGGTGATTGATATTAACAGTGTGGCATCAATCCTTCAAGTCATTAACTTCTAGTCTTAGCCATGTTGGTAAATGTAGACTATTTGATTAGGGTCCGTGCGACTATCGTAACCAATGGTTGGAGACTCTGGGTGACGTGACTCAGAATCGATCACAATGGCGTCGGTATATACACTCTTTGTCTTCCCTTAATCTATGAGATTAAAATTGCTTTATATCTTTCTTTCTTCCTGTACTATATCCTTATATGCAATCTTTCTTTTATATATTACCACCTCTGAATTAACTACTTCTATGAATTTGGTGTTGATCTTTTTGTGTTAATGAGGAATGGCAACTTCGACCGATGCATATATGTGCCTGGTCTTACGTTGTAGCTGACTGACTGATTATCAGCCATCACACCTGAAATATAACATAAAACAGAGTAATTTAACCTGTATTTGAAACTACTTATATTAGAAAATAACAGCGGTTAAATTCATCTCACTCATAAATTTAAGTAAAAGTATTAATCACTAGCATTAGAAATCATAATTTGTCTGAAAGTGGTTTCGAATGAGTGTATTATTTTTCTTAAATATTAAATTTGTCCAAAATTGTTTATTACATATGTAGTTTACTGCCCCCAAATGCCCTGGTACGGCCGAAGATGGGGAGGGTCAGCTATCCCTCTCGAAATGCTCTCACATGTTCACGTACACACAACCACTGCCAGAGAAGTTCTACTCACCGCCTTCTCGCGGCGGGGGTATTGTTTACGAAATTGAGAGAATGAAAAACGAATATCTGGCGCTTTAACAGGGTTGGTTACTACAGAGAGTTCACATAGATTAGTTGGTAAACCTGATTCCAAACCAGTGGTGCACATGTGCTCCAGTATCCTGATGGAACAAACGGCATATGAAGCAATTGTTGGTCACCGGCTACCATGAGACTGCATCTTTTTACTCTGCTCCACTACCATGTGGATCAGACCTGTGGGTGGAAGGCTCATGGTGTGGCCCACTAAGGAAACCACTTGCTTCGGTTTGGGCACGTGGGGAGTATCGCAGTCCTCATACAAATCGAATGATTTTGTGACGTATATCTGTTTGGTGCCTGTATTTCATGATTTTAAACAATATAACCATAGTCATTTATGATACATTAATTAATTATGAATATTTATTGCTAATCCTTAACTGTCATTTTTATCATGTTAAGAAGTTATAATTTAAATACTATATATGAATATCTTAATGATCATTCAATAGTATGTTATCTGAGATGGATTATTCGTTTGTTCTCTCAATCAGGATATACCATTTTGTATAAATTACGTCGATTTTCACATTATCTTTATGATACTACCCCTTTAATGTATTTAAATTATCATACATATAATCATCAAAGGCAGGGATATATCAATCATCTTTCTTCGTTGTCGTCGTCTTCTTCTTCTTCTTCTTCTTCGTATCCAACTTCATCTTGTTTACCGCGTCATTTCTCTGAATGTTCTATTCCAGATACCATATCAACATCGTCGTCGTCGTCATCATTATGTGTTTCTCCAGATTCAGCTGTTCTAAATAATGAGTAATAAGCTTTCCATTTACTTCATTTAATGCATGAAATTATTTAATTCATAATAGTACACGTATATGACATATTGTTAAGTGCTTAGTCTATTAAGAGATTTATTTCAAAGATTCTTCTTTGATTGATCTTCATTTTGTTTTGGACACCTATTATGTTCTTATATACCTGCTTTATTCATTTCCTGTTAGTTGTTTTCTTTTCCTTATGTCTTACTGGTTATATATGTGATACTTGATGGATACATTTGTCAAATTATAATCTCTTTAGACAATTAAACAAATGATTTTGTATAATTGTAGATTATCCTACATTAAATCATAATGATGTAACACTTAGATATATTCAACCCTAGTAAAGACTGTTACTTCTTCATTTACTTTACCACCTTTACAACATAATTGTATTAAATAATTGATCATAGTGATACTGTGATTATATTTGTTCATTTTGTTACTTACTTACTTACTTACTTACTTACTTACTTACTTATGCCTGTTACTCCTCGTTGAGGAGCATAGTCCACCCATCAACACTCTCTATGCAACCCTTTCTCGGGCAATCCTTTCTAGTTCTTTTCAGTTGTTATTCATCTTTTTCATATCTTCTTTAATTTTGTTACCTTTCGAAAATTGTCAAACTTTGATTTGTTAATGATGTTTACTCTTTTTTCTTTGTTGTTGTTAAATTGTTCGTATTCTTCATTTCATTATGCTTATTTTGTTATCATTCATAGCTCATAAATACCACGTTGTTCAACGTATTGTAAAATAAAACTAACTGACCTGATAAGCGTTTTAGTATATATGTATGTATGGATAATACAATGGGATAGTCACAATTGATTGATCACGGGGTGGTGATCAATGTCATGTGTGTCAAGTTCTTCTTAGTACAGATCGAATGTTATCGACCATGTTGCAATGTGGCCACCAGTCTAGGTGACTCGACACTGCTTGTACTATATATTGAGATTAGATGGTGGTTGGAGGTAGTCGACAAGAAACCCTTGACCCGGGTTTCGTGCTACTTGGCACTCGTCAGTAAGGTGTACCTGTAATCTTGAGGGAACTGGTGCTCCCTGGCGGATTCAATCCTGTGTCACCCAGCTGCACAGTCAGTGACGTTACCACTGACCTATGCGGGCCCAGTGGTCAATCAATTGTGGTTACATCTCAGTCCTACAGGAGGTCAGTCGCGGCCCGGATAGCTCAGTGGAAACGTCTCTGACTGTGAGGCTGGGTAACACGGGGTCGAATCCGTCAGGGAGCACCAGTTCCCTCAAGATTACAGGTACACCTTGCTGACGAGTGCCAAGTAGCACGAAACCCGGGTCCAGGGTTTTCTGTCGACCACCTCCAACCACCATACAATGGAATTGTCCTTATCTATTTTTTCTTATTTTAATGTACATAGTATAAAAAATAAGGAGATTCTTCCAACCTTCCTATTTCAAGCATCTGACTAGTTCCAAATAGGAGGAAATGCGCGTCCTAAATTCCACTGTTAGACACCCTCCATCTTTGCTTATGATGTTTATGATTTAAGGCAATATCGAGGCAACTCGCACATAATGCACTTATACCATTAAGAGACTTATCTATTACAATCCTAAACATCAATAGGAAGATTCAAATAACCAATACAAAATGAACTTTATTATTTCAATTTAAATGATGAATCAGAAATGTATTTACTTACGCTTTTTACCTCTCATGGACCATAAGTTGCTCACCAGGATTCTCCAACCAACTATTTTTGAGTTCTCCTTTCTAGTTGTTTACAATTGCTATTGATTATTTCTGATGTCTGCCTCCAATTCCCAAAACGATGTATTTTCTTAATCTTCCTTTTTTTTCACTTCGCCTTCAGGATTCCAAGTTAGAGTTTGCTTTATGGTGCAATTTGATGATTTCCTCAATGTATGTTCTATCCACATTCATTGTCTTTTCTTAATGTTGTCCTCAGCTGGAAGTTGTTTTGTTTTCTGCTACAATAGATAAATAAAAAGCAATGCAATATTTGAAGTACATCTCATTTTGATCATTTAAATTTTTTATTGTAGTATATGATCATATGAAAGGTAATAGCATTCAATGTATTCAATGTGAATAGATCCACCTTTTTAATAATGAATATCAGTTGTTGTTGTTGTTGTTCGTTGCTAGGTGATACGGAAATGAGGTTATTCAACTGTTGTATGATATAGTTCTACTTTTTTATTATCGTTCTTTTAGGTAGTAATAACAATAATACATCTCTCAGAGTAATATAGAAATCGATGAGTATTCTTTAAAAGTAAAAAAAGAACTATTCTTTTACATTTCAATTTTGTTGTAAAGATCAGATATGTAAGAAAAGTATAGAAATGATAGAATGCATTGAAACTAATAAATATAAGTTACTTACTTACACCTGTTACTCCTAATGGAGCATAGGCCGACGACCAGCATTTTTCAATCCACTTTGTCCTGGGCCTTCCTTTCTAATTCCATCCAATTCTTGTTCATTTTTCTCATATCTATCTCCATTTCTCGGTGTAATGTGTTCTTTGGTCTTCCTCTTTTTCTTTGGCCTTGAGGATTTCATGTGAGGACTTGTCTTGTGACGCAGTTGGGTGCTTTCCTCAAATAAATACAAGTTAGCAGGAATAAATGTTGTATGGTATAGTCAAATTGAAACTTCACTATGAAAATAGACTAAGTCAAGGAATAGCCATGATAATGTAATGGAAAGATTGTAATATCAAATTACGTAATGTGAGTAATAACAATAGACTTAATAAGTTTGTAACGAATTATAACGTGAATGTAGTAAGATTAAAATATTCTTGTTAGTGTAATTAAAGACATTAGAGGTGTGAAATAAATAAAGTGGTATTATGAGCAATTATGAATGAAATAATAAGAATATAACGCATAAGTAAAGGGAGCAATGCAGTACTACTAATGATAATTAAGGTCAAGGTAACACGACCAAACCATCCAGCTCAGAGAACAAAACTCCACCAGTAACGTTAACGATAGAACGTACTTTCGTACTCACAGTTCTGGCTTTAGCTCATGAATGGTAAGAGCTGCTATTGATCAGGACAACGCAGTAGGTGGAGTTTATTGAAATCATCAACGATATAAACAAAAAGCTGATCGATTCGCCTTATCCTGCAGACAATCTTACTTATTGAGGGGGTAATTTCTAAGAATTTTCACACCTGCTTCCTGATATATTTATATAGGGAGACGAAATCAATGTTGCTCTATTTTTTGGGGATGTTAGATCTCCAGAACTCACTTGGAAAAGGATCCGATTTTGTAATTGTATTTAGAAAATTTGAATTTTGTTTTCGCGCCAAAAACGGGCTTGTACGCAATAGAATAGCTAGTTTGTTGGTCTTTGGTCACAAGTCTTTATTCCATTCCCAGTCTAAGTGAACTCGTAACCGCTTCAAGCCTAGCACTATTCAACAGTATCATCAAGATGTAATAATTTATCTGGTAAAACTTCATTACAGGCAAATAACAAGTCCTACACATTCGTTCGGTAAGTAGTTACTCTTACTGGACCTCGAATAAATGCTGCAGGTTTACATGGATTTTTGTTGAAGAAATAAGTCGCAAAGCTACTTTATGTTTTGTATTTAAGTGCCTACAGACTTGTGGTCGATGTTCATATTTCTGTTATTCTCATGAAGCAACATAAATATTTCCTTCAAATCTACCAAGTTCCCACCAAATAATCTTAGTATAATGGATTGCTTTGTCCATTACACAATAAGACCAATTATAGGTTTTTTTTTCAAAGAAGGATAAGAATCTTATCACCTGATAATTTCTTTTCATAATTAACTTTAGAAAATACATGAAGTCAGTTTTCCGTATGTTTGAGGACAGTTAACTTATTACACTTTCTTTTTCTTTTTAGTTGGTTAGTTTTATGGCCATGTGATTTAACGTTTTATTCTGTTTTCTATATAATTTTTATCGCTTTATGTAGGTGGACTTAGATGTATTAGTCAGTCAGTCAGCTACAACGTAGGACCAGGCACATATGTGCATCCGTCCAGGTTGCCATACCGCATCAGCACAACAAGATGAACACCGGATTCATAGCAGTGGTTGGGTCAAAGGTGGTAATATATAAGAGAAAGATTGCATATAGAGATATAGTACAAGAATTAGATGTATTAAGAATAATAGTAATAATAACATACGTTGTCTGCCATAAGAACTAAACAATACGCAGATCCCCTAAATGCCCTGGTACGGCCGAGGGTGGGGAGAGTCCGCTATCTCTCTCGAAGTGCTATCGCAAGGCCACTTGCATACAACCACTACCAGAGAAGTCCTACTCACTGCTCTCTCGCGGCAGGGGTGTTGGTCACGAAATTGAGGATGAAAAGCGAATATCCGGGGCTTTAAGCGGGTTGGTGGATATGGAGGACCAATCTAGAGGAGTTGGAAAACTCTGATTCCAAACCAATGATGCACATGGGCTCCAGGATCTTGAATGGCGTATGAAACAATTGTTGGTCACCGGCTACCGTGGGACTACATCTCTTTACGCTGCTCCACTACCTTGTGGATGAAACCTTTAGGTCAAATGCTTGGGGTGTAGCCCCCTAAGGAAACCATCTGTTTCGGTTTGGGCACCCGGCCAGTATCACAGCACACACACAAATCAAGTGACTGGTGTATATTGATTCGTGCAGTTTTCATGTTGTCCGATAAAAACGATGTTTAATATTAGGTGGACTTAATAATATTAAACATATTTACATAAAGATATATACATTAAAAGTTAAAACTAAACTATTCAATGAACTACTGGTACAGAATAGGTACTCATCAAAATTCATAAACCTGTGGAAATATTGTAAAGTTTTGAAACCTATTCTGTCAGTAGACCGTTAAATGAATATTTCATTAGAAAGCTGTTCGATTCACCTCCAAATGTGAAATTAATCCAGATAAAGACTTAAATTTGTGGTACTTTATTGCAAACCATCTATGAAGTATAGAATTATGTACTCAGATTTAAGCCAGACTTTATGTGAGTATCGGTGATACCATCTGGTTCATGAGAGTGTATTAAGTGAAGCAGTGTTCAACATTACTATCTATTATAGTCAGTCAGCTACAACGTAAGACCAGGCACATATGTGCATCGGTCCAAGTTGCCATACCGCATTAGCACAACAAGATGAACACCAAGTTCATGGAAGTAGTTACTTCAATAGTGGTAATATATAGAAGAAAGATTGCATATAAGGAGATAGTACAGGAAGAAAGAAAGATATAAAGCAATTTTAATCTCATAGTTTAAAGGAAGACAAAGAGTGTATACACTGACACCATTATGATCGATTCTGAGCCATGTCACCCAGAGTCTCCGACCATTGGTTATGATAGTCACGCGGATCATAACCAAGTAGTTTGCATCTGCCAACATCGCTAAGACTAGAAGTTAGTGACTTTGTGGACCAATGCCACGTTTTGGTTTGGCCGCCCCTAATTTTTTTCTAACCATTCCCATCATTAGTCAGCATTGCGCGTCATGGTAAAGGTAAACGGTTATATCGTATTCCATTATGTAAATGCTTCCTGGTTTACAACGAAACTTAAGATGAAATCATAATCAATATATTTTTTGTTATATCCCAATTACTTAGTGTACTCCACTGCTTCAGAATAAATAACTGACATTAAATTAACACAAGTTTATGTCAATGTTAAGTTATTCTTGGTCAAGGTGAATTTGTATAGCCTGTCATTGTATTAATTTGTGTGTTA